CAATTTGGCATTTAAATCTGGCAACATTGTTTTTGGTCAAAATTCATGTGTAAATGGTACCCTCAAATATTCCATATAGACATAGGTCAAAATTTCCCACCCCATAACTCGATCAAATCTCATAATTGCTCGGCTTCCTGATCAATTTGGCATCTAAATATGGCAACATTATTATTGGTCTAAATTCATGTGAAAATGGTACTCTCATATATGCTGTTTTTAAAATTATTTTCGTGGCTTTACATTGATCTTTGTTCTCTGAGAGAATTTGTTGTATACGTGGGGTATACCCGCTAGTAATATAATAATATTAAAAATCTAAATAATATCAAAACAAGCTTTGTCACGCAGATAATATTAAAATTTACGCAAACAACGGAAATGGCAAAGCAAATATATAAAAAAAAATCGATATTTGTTCTCCTTGTGGGTCAGCTAAGTAAGCAGAATCGGTGTAGAGCCATCAACAGTCTGTATATTCAGTCACACATACACATACATACAGTGTCCTATATGGTCAGCGGAAACAATGGTTGAATGGTTCAATGTATGCAAATGCGGAAAGTTTCATTTGCATGTGCAATCGACTCGCTTGGCGACGTAAGTAGTTCACTTTTCCAATTGACATTGCAAACAGATTGTGGTCGTAACTTGCTCTGGACTTCACCACTTGATAGCATTAAACATACCTTCGGTAATGAAAAGTATAAATGTTACAAACGGAAGAGCTCGACTGCGAGATGCTCTGCTCTAGTGGTGGCCCAAAACTGTATGCTTATCTTAAAAACTGCAACAGAAATACAAATACAATTATCTAATGTGTAGTGATAGATTTAATACGGTCAGACAAATAGAAATACATTTGGACGTGCAAGGAATACAAAAATAATTATTAAGAAACAATCTTAAGGACAAGAGTGCTCAACGTGCCTAGAAATCAAAGAATATTATAATCATTAAGTTAGTTTTCAGGAAAAACAATTGTTAGACCTCAGATTTTATTTTAATTTAATCTAGAAGTTAATTTGCGTAAATGTCAATAGTTTTCCAAAGTATATACTTGTACAACACAATTTTGTTTTCTGATAAATGTGTGAATTATTGCACGTTCGCATATATTTTTGCGATATCTGCTTTTGAATTTATCTCAACCAAAAGCTGTTCCTGATAGCCATAATGTGCCTAATTGATTTATTGCGTAATCCGGCTTAGCAAGACGGCCTCCATTAGCAGCATCTTGCTGTTAATTCGAAGGTGGGATGGATTATTGATAGCAGCCATATTCTCAACCCATTCATATCACAATGTCTGCTCACTCATTCATCAATAGGTATTTGGGCGTCTTTGGCTAAGACATTACAAATTCTAGCAAACGCTACATTTTCAGATAGAAAATAGGCATGTCATAAATGTCAATGGCAACTCGCCATTGCACACGCGCTATAAACTCATACTCAATCCAGTTTGTGCAAGAATTATGTGAGCATAGGAGAAATTTAATCAAACAACGCAACCCTTTTAAGAAACGAAAGTCAAACTTCCCATTTGCAACTGGGATAGGCAAAAGTTTCATATTACCTCCCAAAATTGGCCAAAAGGCTAGATACACATTCCATTCGGCTTTTTCACCATTAAATCCGTGCAATTGTATTAAACCTCTTTCTGATTTCAAAGTTACTATACTGGTAGGTACGTATAGTACGTTCTTAGGAATCGCTGGGGTAAATTGCAATTCACTTAGCTTATATTGGCTTGGTAGGCAAGCCGTGCAAATGTACCATGCTTTCAATAACCAGCAAGACCAACAACAATAAAAATGTCGAAAACATAGTAAACATTAACGGGAAAACAATTTTCATAAATCTAGAATTATTACCACGGGCCACGTAGGGCCCACAGACTTGAGTAAGCAGCGTATCCATTGAAGCAACAAATTTGCACAAGAAAGATGAGTAAAATTGCTACAGTGAAAAACACAGTCGACTACTAGATACGCTGCAACAACGCACTTAAATATTTTGCCAGCTTATTAAAGAGTAAAAAGGAATATCAGGGAAAAAAGATAATTAAAAAATTCGTCTATTGTATCCAAATAAATCTTTTTCACAGATATAAAAGATTTACTGTATTCCTGCTTTTATATTATTAAAAAGATTAGGCATATCTTGAACCATTTAGAGATGGAAACACTCCGCCCAATATACGAATAAACTTTCATTCTAGAAACAACAAAGAACGTTGTAATTTACATCGCTGTCAACAAACGATATTTTTCACATATTGCACGCATATTCTAAGCGCAAGCTGTTTGGGGTTGGTTTTTAGATAAATCCTTAGAAAGGGTCCATTATATAATTTTCGAGCATTCGGCAAACAATCTGCTGGAAGCTAGACTGGGCTAAGCCAGTACATAAGTCACATAAATCACGCTTTGTGCTTACTAGTAAATTGGGATGCGACCCCAGAAGCGTCCGCGTTTCTCATTGTCTTTTAATTCAATTTGTGCAATCGGCTTGGGGTTCTTTGAAGTCCACTCAAATTTCAATAATTCTCTTTGCATTAAAATTCAAACAAATTAAAAAAGGGCAAAAGTTGTGAGGAAAATCAAGTCAAGTGAGAATCACAGACAACTTTCAAGGGATGAGCGTGAGCCTTCCATTGGATAAAGACATCAACTGTCGCTGAAAAACTGTCTATTGAATAACTTTAGTTAACACAAACAATGAAAGCAAGTGAATGCCACTTGGAAGCTCAAGTGCTTATAGGCACACTTTTCAGTGGCCTATCAAATCTTAAGCTGACGAAAATGGCAGACACATCCAACCGACGCGCACAAAGGACGAACTTATTCACTTTCATATGAGCTTGCAAAACAATTTGAAAAAAAAAAATTAAAAATATTATATTTAGTGTTCTCCTATGTACTTTATGGTACATAATCAGGAATGTGTTTATATGCCTGTCGTTCTCCGAGTTGCACGTAAATACTTACAATACAAATTTGGATAGCTTTACAACTCGCATATCGAAACTCTGGCACTGCAGGTGACAGTTTTCTCGTTAAATCAAAGATTATACGTCTAACGCACTACACATCACAAATGTTGTGGATTTAAATTTGCATATGCAAATTGGCGTCTTTTGTAGTTCATTAATATTCAACTACTTAAGTTACCACAACATTTCATTCCTTTAACGTTTTAGCCATACAATTAAATCCACACCTTTTATCCGGAAGACAAATATAAACAAGTAAGAGGTTCCCGATTTGGGAATACCCTGAACCCCCTTATTCCAACACCAAATGCAGTTCGCGCAACGCGCTCGTTTGAAGAAATAAAGATACATTAAAAAAAAAAGTTCCCTTGGCAGGGCTCGAACTCGCAACTGACCGTATTACTTGCCGCCGTCTCTACTCAACAGACAACCCAGCAAAAAAAAAATAGTTTCCCAGGTAGGGCTCGAACTCTCGGCAGACCGCAACACTTCCTATGCCTCTACTCAACAGCCACACCACTAATTAAGTATTATTGAGAAAAAAACGAACTAAAATAGCATTACAGAAAAATGTCGCAATTCTACGCTGTTAGAATGCGATAGAATGCGAAGCAGACGCGCATGAATGTGTGTGTGTACATGTATACACAAATTCTTAATGATTCAGTTACATATAACTTTGGTTTTCTCTTAACCGATCTTAATGAAATTTTCTACAGTATATCTTATTGTATGAAAGATACTTGATATATATATAATATTCTAGAAGCAACATTACAAGTTTGGTGACTATAACTCTTTGTATTTTCCAAAATTGCTAAAAAAAAAAACAGGATGTCGATATCGATTTTTATCGATTGATTGGAAACGGAGTAAGTTATCGATTATCGGAAACAAACTCGATCTGCGCAGGCACTAGGAGGACCTACATCTAAAATTTCAGGTCTCTAGCTCTTATAGGTTCTGATGTCCTTTCGTTCATACATACGGACGGACGGACAGACGGACGGACAGACAGACGGACATGGCTAGATCGACTCGGCTATTGATGCTGATCAAGAATATATACATTTTATGGGGTCGGAGATGCTTCCTTCGGCCTGTTACACAGATTTGCATGTTGCACAAATACAATATACCCGTTTTACCCATTTATAATGGGTTCAGGGTATAAAAATACACACGGTGACAGTTGCAATTGATTTTCAATCAAATAAACAAACAAGTGTGCACATTAGTGCGAATGTTTTCGCCACTTAATACATAGGAGTTGGGCTTTTATTTACTTTTCGTTTAAAAAATTTTCACCTTTTTGATGCACACCTGACAATGATGTTTACACACTCCATAATAAAACCAATAGATACGCAAAATGAATTGATACGAATTTGTAAAGAAGGGAATATCTAGGATCAAGAAACTTTAAGCACATCTGTAGCTAACGTTGGAATTTCTATTTCACAGGAACGACAAAACTTTTTATTGTACATAAAATCCACCAAAAATAACATTCCAGAAAAAAATCGATTGGAAACTCTAGTTGCGAGAGATAGAAGATATATTTAATCTTTATACTCTATACTCGTCCGTGCGAAGGCATGAAATGTCAGTTCTAGAAAAAAAGCAGTCGGGCTGGAAAAATAAATTAAAGCCAATATTAATCCTTAAACTTCCGTCATACATTGGAATACATGAAAAATTCAAAATTTGTAGGGATATGGAAATCGTTTGTCCACAACGCACGCCATGTCAATGCGTGGCTTCGTGGTAAGTGGAAGGATCACCGTGCACGCTCTTATGCGAGGCACTGTGGCTGCAGTTGGAGTATAGTCAAGCAACGTCTGCTTGCCTTTAAGTATTATTCGCTGTTTATGGCAAGCGCCTATTACCAAGATTGGCTCATTCCGTTTTCACGTGCTTTATTGGATGATAATAGGGCTAGAGATCGTGTACTGCAGGATAAGAGTAAAAGTACAAGCCTAATTACTACGCTTTTGACAAAGATGCAAGGTTGGCTGTTGCACGCAAATGCCGAAAAGCTGAATCCCGAAGCTAAGGAACCAAGGGGACTCTTCCCGAAGGTCGAAACTGGCGCCCGCAGAGTAACTTTTCGTGATATTACCATACAGGAGTATGAGAACCGACTGCGAGTATGCTCACAGCCGGAAAAAATTTTTTGCTACTTTGCCACGATCAAGACAGAGAATGATGCCGGCAAATTGAAAGTTTTTATGACGCCCGTCGACTTTTTGCGCTCATTAAGACCAGGCCTAAGGCAGCCAGAGGGCTTGGGCTTAAACCAGTTCCGCAGGATGGACAGAGAAAAAATTAAAAAGCTTAAGTGCAGCGGCTTACCGAAGGACAGCATATTTTATAAGCTTCGACCCGATGGCCTCCTCACCTTTTGTGATTTTCTGTACCTGGTCATGCTGCTGACAATGCCAGAGAAATACTTTAAGATGGGGTTCAGACTTTTTGATCAGCAGGGAAATGGTAACCTCAGCATAAGGGATATGAACACTTTACTATTAGGCATCACCCATGATGAGCGATTCAGGAATATCTCTGCTGTACACTTCTATTTTTTTGGGCCTCAGCTCAACCAGAAGCTGAGCCTAGCCAAGTTTCTAGAGTTCAGGCGGCAGTTACAGCACGATGTTCTTCTGCTCGAGTTCAACTTACTTAAGAAGAAGCGTAAGCCAACGGACGCAAATAAACCGCAAAGTAATACAATCAGCGAAGTATGCTTTGCTAAAATACTGTTAAAATGTTCAGCTATGTCAAAGGCTGAGAAGACCAACACTCTGAAACGTATCAACAAGAAGTATCAACCGGTCAAGCGGGGCATAACACAAGATGAGTTTATGTCATTCTTTCGATTCGTTCAACATCTGCCAGACATAGAAACGGCACTGTCCTATCATTATCTTGCAGGTGCAGACATATCCCGAGGAGCACTTAAGCACATTTCTGATGTGCTTGTCGGAGTTCCTCTGTCGGCCCACGTGATCGATGTAATCTTTACAGTTTTCAATACCAAAAACAGCGGGATCCTGGGATGCAATGGCTTCATTGAAGCCTTGCGACATCGCATGTTGCGTTGCAAACACACCTCCTTTAATCTAGAGGATCTGTACGGAAGCATCCTAAAGTGTGCCAAGGAAGCGTTGATCGTATAGGGATATGTAATTTCACCCCAGCCTCACAACACATGTTAGATGTAATAAATTTATATTGCACCAGAATGCCTGTTAGTGTCCTTAAAACTCGAATACCAACATTACAAAGCCACGGCAGCTCTCCACAACGCGGCGCTCTGGTTTGATGCACTTTTCCAAGCTCTTCACTCAACTCCTTTGAGTATAAACGCTTTTAGCGGAAACACATCGCAGGCAATACCTACTACTAACCCAGGTGTATAGCAATACCCACAACTGGCACAGACTGAGCGCACACGTACTTAAGTACATATAATTTACTTTTAAACAAGAACGCGCATTGCTCAAAAGCGCAGTTTGCTTGCTGTCAACGTTTAAGACATGAACAACGAGGCAAAACAGAAAATCTATATATACTGATGTCCTTAAACCAAGGTTCCATGCTAAGCGAAACCCAAATATATGTACTCCTGTAACGAGAAGTTTTTTCAGACAAAATGCCATAAAGCCCTTTAAACGTTTTTGGGGATTAAAACTTGATTAGTTTATTGAATAGTTGCATTAAGATTTGCATATGTACTTGCGACGCTGACTACCTAACCGGAACACAATGCCATAAAACTATTTGGCTATTGCTTATTTTCTATACATTTTTATTTGTATAGTTATATTAATTTTTATCCATTCAAATAGTTTTATTTGACATTTTTCGTAATTGAACGCACTAACTGGGGTTTTAATATAGCAAGTGAAACCACAAAATGAAATGAAATGAAATGAAAATGAAATGAAAACTCAAAATCAATTAAGTGCAATGCAATAGAAACAAATCAGAGCGTTTGTCGAGCACGACGCGGGAACACCCTAACCCTTCTACTCATACCAGACTGTACACTTTTTTTTTCAATTTAATTGTTAAAGGGATGTCTTAAAATGTATACAGAAATTCCTTCTACTAATTACCTAGGTTTGCTTTAGTCACTTTTGTGTTTCTTAACCATATTTATATTCATATATATGGGCTAAATCGGCTATTGATTCTGACAAATATAATCCCTATAGGGTCGGTGATTCTTCCTTTTACCTGTAAAATATATTTGCACAAAGCCTTGCCTTTTTTTCAGTGTATTCAAAGTGAAGTTGGACAAATATGAGAAGAATTTTGTAGTCTTACGAATTGATAGCAAGTATCCTTTGCGTAAGCATGCACGACGGACTTACACTAAATGAATTTGTGACAACCGTTTCATAAAATCTGCCTCAACTGTCAATGGGATGTGTTTCATAAATAAATAAAATATAGGAATTTAAGAATTTATAATGAAATTGACTGAACGTAACAAATAGCATTAAGGAGAATTTTATATTTCTTTACAAATTTCTTTGCGTTGTACGCTAGTAAGCTAGTTATAAGCTTATTTCTAGTCGACTTTGCCATTTTATTTTTTCTTGTCAGATGTTCGGTCAAAGCAATAAAGGTCCAATTTGACTGAACAGAGTGCAGCATTTTCTTCACACACTTGTTCAAAAACATTTACACATATACGTGGGCTTTTGAAGCATTTCTGTGTGGGATATTCAAATTTATAAATTATGAAATTTTATGGCTTTGAGGCGTAGTATGTGCAAAAATATTATTTTACACACGTCTATGCCCAAGCATATTTTCATGCATTTGCGCAGTTTATATTCCTGGTTGCCACACCCATATTCAGACAGACCAAACGACTTAGAGGGTCTGCACTTTAACATAATTTACTTGAATTTAGGTTGCCGAAAATGTTAGCCTGACAGTACCGGCAGGGTATCAAGGTTGAAAGTTGGCCAGAGCCACAGCCACAGCAGGAGCGGCGCTTATCTGAGTTATGAATATGCAGGTTCTTATCGCGTGAATACGAGCATGTGTGCGGCTGTATGACTGGTGTAAGTAAGCATAAATGTGCCGTCCAAGCAAAATTTGCACAAGATTTAACCACCTGCAAGTTTTATTTATCATTAATCCATTTTTGGGCAGTGCACCTAAGCAAAACCTTAAATTTTCAAAAACACCTTTCGCTCATAGTTCATAGTAGTTCATAGTTCATCATGGTTCTTACTCTAAAGTTTATTGCCATTTTAAAACTAGCCAATATAGATTGACTATGCATATCATTGTCTCCTAATTTTATGAAGGTCGAAATAAAACATAGTCTTTAGCTTAATTCATATGTTAATTTATAATACATTTTAATCATTCCACTCAAACCCCCAAAACATTATAAGTATGTAATATTGCAAATTTAAATAACTAAATTATAGATTGCCGCTCATGCAAAAACGGTCAGCTCGACAAGTCGAAATTTAAAGTCCCATTTAAAATTATTACAACACGAACAGAGTTTTAATTTGAAATACAATACCGTGATACATAATTGTAAATCCAGTCATTTAGTCCAAATTAAGCTGGCTTCCTGAAGTTCGATTCCCCTACGTTGTATTTGTATTCCTGCGCATGACAGCAATCAGATACCCCTTTTAGGGCTATAAATCCCCTGTTTTCACTATCAAATACAGATTTTACCGAAATTAACCACAATACTTATACACTTAAACAAATATATTCCGCAATCAAACCAAAGCTGTATACAATTTTAATGAAGCCATCGCATTAATATACAACCAACATTAACTGCCCTATTTGTTGGTGTGCGTTTTGAAATACATAATTGATGAACTTTCGGGTAAACAACTTTTTGAAAAAAAAAATGGTAGAGAGAGCCTGACGAGGAGATTCCTTAGCCCACACACGAAGCTGTCATTACAAGCATTCTATCTTCCTTTTTATGTTATTGGAAGCGCTTTTTTGATTTCATTCGGTGTTTATTGTCCGATCATTATAAAATGTTTAGGTCATACTATGACATCCAAATATTTGTAAGTGCCTAAGCACATGACTATATCTCTAAAAATGAATTTTTTCCATTTTTCGGGAAACGGTACATGGATCTGTGTATGCTATACGATATGGAACAAATACAGAATTTCGTTAAGGATTTTATGAAAACGGGCCAAGAGAGATCGATGTGTTTATTCATGCGCACGGACGGATAGAAGGACTACGTTATTGATCCTGAGTAAGTTTGTGTATTGTATTGCTTTTATTTATAAGGATGGTTTTTAATACATTCCATGACTTTAATTATATATTATTTCAACTTCTGCTCGACATCGCAAGCCAAACTCCCTGATTGCATATCTCTTTATGCATCAATTTATGTCTTATACTCATATCTTTTACCACTGTTCGTTACTTTATGGTCCCTGATATTATTTCTTCCTGTTGCACACATTGGCAAAAAACCATTTGAATTTTTTCCAATTTTTTTTTACCAAGCTGGGTCAAGTTTTATATTAAATTACGATGGAAACGAAGATCACAACAAATGATTAATGTTGTAAAAGGAAAATCTGTCAATAGATTAAAAGAGGCCGTGCTTGAAGTTTTTTTATATCCAGCAATCATTTATCACATGCAAGGTGGACACGTGGCGAAATCAAAATGGCTTCCGATCCGGCTTAAAGTGCCGATGACTAAACGGAATATGTGATAATATACAAAAGGGGGTGACAACCCTCTAACATTTTGCAGTTACCTATTGTTGCTTTTTGATTTGACTGACCCCGAAATAAAAGAGAAAAAATTAGAATCCATTGACGCAACGAATGGCCCTCCAAACCTACACTTTCATATATGGCATATGAAAAATGAAAGGCAAACTGCGAATACAATAATATATATAAAGCCACTGACTGAAACAGTGCAGCCTTTATTTCCAGTTTTTCTGCCAGTGCTCGAACAACTGGCTGACTGCATATGTCAATCAGAAAACAGAGCCATAATCTCTGCTTGACATGAACTTAAAAGTATTATGACAAATATTTCGCAATCTGTGCGCTACTCTGTCTCTGAATTCACGCTACTTTATCCATTTTGCACGCATTTGCATGGGGTCTTCCTATTATGGCATGAAATGTGTAACGTTCTTCTATATTTATAGATGTTTTTTCCCCTAAGGTCTTTTGAAGTACATAATTAAGAAAAAGAAATTTAGCATTAAATTTGCTTATTTGGATTACAAGTGCGTTCAACATGAAATAAATATAACACATATATCTGTAAGGGTTTTAAATCAATGCCCCCCGCAGATAGCTTCTCTTCTTTAAGTTCACATATTTGATGTCATGTATGTAGAGTGTATTATGCTTGGCTCCTTGTTGCCAGTGCAATGGCAATGTACTGTGTGTGTGTGTGTGTGTTGTCCTTGTTGTTACTTTTACTGGACTCTGGCATTTGTGTGACGCACAATTCTGTTTAAATAAAAATCATTTCGTTGCAAATACCTTATGACATATTTCTGTTTTTGACATGGCCTTATTGTAATGTTGTTGCTGCATCACCCCCAACAAGCATGCAAAATACTTATCGAAGGCCTTTCACTTGTTGGAAGAAAACCCAGAGCATATTGTCGCTTTCGGGCAACTGGCACGTATCCTTTTATTTGCTCCTTTTTTTGTACACCGGACATGCGGTAAATCAATTTTTATTTATTATTTTATGAATTGCAATCGGTTTTTTTTTTAAATTTTACTCACTTAAGTTCGCATCGTTTGCATGTATAGCTGTTACCCGATTTAATTTACTGTGTGTATGCCTCCAACCGCCAAGCCCGCTTATCGCTTAATTGAGAATGTATCCGCGGCCGTGCACAACGTGGCACGTAATTTTGTGGTCATTGCAGCGAATGCTGGCAGCCATAAAGCAAATAAATATGAAATATATTTCGTTGATGAATATATTCCCGCCGAATCTCAACCAGACCGACCTACTGTAGCTTGCTTAAGTGTTAAAATGGTTCACTTGCTTTGGGGCTGACATTTTACTGGATTTAAAAAAACATGCTGAAGGGCTGCTTTTTTTTAGCAAACAAACAATTGTAATCTATGAGTTATCCATGTGTGTACGATTTTAAAAGTTATAATTAGCTCAAAACTTTGAGCAATACTTTTGCAAAACGCTGTCGTGTTGCCTGCCAATTTTGTTCCTGCCTTGTTCCTATTTGATAAAGTTGAGCAAATCCAATTATCAGTTTTCAAATCGCATCTTATGCAAATGATGCCTATGCCAAAATGTAAAAAAAGAGACAGAAAGCGAATGTGTGTTTGTGGTTTGGTTTTTACATTGGCAAAGCCAATTGAACCTTGAGGGCGGCTGCACGAGTTATTTGACTAGAAACCTAAAGTAAACCTAAGTTCATGCAGCAATGAAATTCTCGGCGTATGGAAAACTTAAACGGATACGAAAAACTAGTAAAATATAAACTTTTGAGTGTTAGCGTTTTGTTAATACAAACCCACAAATTTGTGGCAATTTATACCCAAAATTAAATAGTCTCTGTGTGTCGACAGTTTAGTAATTTGAAGCTGCATACTTAATATAGGAATTTTCAATTTGGGTAGTAGTGTATCACATTCAGTCACAAGCGGAAATTTAAATGAAAGTAACGTGAAAACTAACAAGTCTACATATAAACGAAGGCCGTAAATGTAAAGGTATAAGGATTGCTTTCTTCATAGAGGGCTGGTTTTTCAACATTTGAATTAAACGCTGTTGATACTGACTCGTCTCAAAAGAGAATCCTATATTTTCATACATTCTCACTAGCTCCCACTACTCCAATGTTCTGACGGAATTCGCTTTGCATACTTGGGAGGGACCCACACATTTGTGAAAGCCTACACTCTAGTGGAATAGCCTCAATTCTGAAGCTGGCACAACTAATTATTCAACTAATATTTGCTTTAACGCACACACAAGCTTAAGAAGAGGAAGAAACTGACCACATAAATCTCGCATTGGTCCCCATTAGACACACACCAGCTGCGCAAGCTGGGAAACACACACTCCCCATAACTTCATAATCGACCATACTAAGTCGACAGTTCGTGCATGTTAATAGGTCATTCAGTTACAGAACTAACGAATTTTCTGTGTGAAAAGGTTAGAAGCTCGGGCAGTCAGACAGATATTGAGCTAATTGTAGGCTTTAGAATGCTCTGAGAAAGACCTTTTAATATATTTTTGCAATCTTAGGCTACTGACAGGTTTGTCCAGGGTTAAAAATGATTGATAACTGCAAATTGCGACACAATTAGCGTACTGGATATTGTATAAGAAAGTTGTTGAGCAGCAAACTTGCCCTTTCATGCAGAGTAAGAGTCGAGCACTAAACTAACGAAGCTGGCTAGACATTTGTTATGAAATTTTCAGCAAAAATTTCTGCAAATCATTTAGCTTATGCTGACGGCCAGAGAAAGATAAATATTAATAACACAGTTGGCCAGCGAGCAAAAGGTGACGGCTAAGCCGATCCCCATCGCCAAGTTGCCGCCGCAGCAGTTTCTGTGTGCGGTGCAGTTTGCACTGCAAACTAAGCCCGGGCGATGCTGTGACAGGGAAAACCGTGATAGACAGAGTCAGAGTCATAGTCCGATCTGAAAATTTTAAATAATAATAGCAAAGTGCGGGACATAGTACATAAAGTGGAGAAAGGCAAGTGAATAGTTCTGTTGTTGATGACAATACAGAATAATGAAGGGCAGTGGAAAACAAAGTAAGCGCCAAATAGCCTCGGCGTATAATAAAGTAGAGCCAAGAATAAACTGAGAGGTGAAGTGTAAGCAAAAATGGAAATGTTTTATGTGAAGTAAGAATATCTGTATGCTATGTACATGAAAAATGCAAGGCCGTACGCCAGTCAAGCCGCACAGCTACCTAAGCCGCCTGCCCTATCCACATGGCTTAGCTAAATATTAAAATTCATACACCATGTTGTACGGTCAAATCACTTTCAGGCTTTGGCCATCTACGCCCTTGTTACTGACACAAACACAAAACGACAACTGCGACGATTTTCGTATGGCAAACAGCAGAACAGCATATTTTACATAGAGCATTTGAGGCCAAACGATACAGCTGCACTGAAACAATTGCACAATTTATGTGGCATTTAGTATTTGCACATCATTCAAGTCCGACTCAACTACCATACCATACCCGGCCCCTAATGCCTGTTGGCAATCCAACGTCCTTTATACGCCTTTTCCAAGTTTCAGACAATAACATAAAACGAGCCGTTAAGCATTAAAAAAAAAAAAAAATGTGCAGGTCAGACACTCACTACAATTCATTTGAACCCCTTCCCAACACATGCTCGACAACTAACCTGCAGAAATATTACAAATTCAAAATGCTAAATGTGCATTTAACTTATGTATTTATGTAAATCCGTCGAAATTATTTTGCCCTGCGGCCCACAAAGCCGAGAAACTCGGAGGACCAGGGCAGGTATTGTGAACGTAGTATTGCCACCAAAACAAACTGCACGTCATTTGAATAAGCATTCCTTTTCGAGGATGTATGTTTGTTTAGTTATCTTACTTTTGCCACGAACTGTCCACATGCACACTTTCCTCAGCTTTGCTGTCAATTGTCAGTGTTTCGGATTAATGGCATGGACGCTCTCATCGTCCTGTGCAGACCCAGTGCTACCAATGGTCGAATCGTACCCTGTTTCTATTTTGCGTCAGTTTTTCATATTTTTGCCATATTTTCGTTTCAAACTATGTAACTCTGTCCTTTTACACTCCCTCTCAGGTGCTTTCGGTGCCACATATTTGTGTTCCCAAATTAAATCTGCACAATATGTGGAGAATACTCCAACTGTGTATGCCATGCACGGTCCCAAAGATAAGTGCATATTTAAATATATTTGTCTGTGTGTGTTGGTCCATAAATAGTACTTGTGTGCAATATGTATGTTGGGCGACGTCCTCGGCTTCATTTTCATCATAACTTATTTACTTGGAAGCACCAAATAATTTAAGATAATGCAGTTGGACTAAAGTGCTAAATCCGATTTGGCCAGTGCCTTGAGGGTAGTTGTAAGATGGTAAGATATTCAACATTAATGCATATAACAATATTTAGATATATATATAACGTACATATGTTATTTCTACAAGAGAATATTTAATGCCTCTGTGATCTCCTGCCTCCTTCAATTAAAGGTTTTGAAATGAACTACCAGCCATTTGCGATGCCCTCTGCTTTAAATGCTCGGTTTCGTATTCATATCGGCTTTTGCTTAATACACTCAGCCTAATCCTTTGCAAATTGCCAACGAAATATCGACCTGGCCACCACTGAGTAATGTCATCAGACAAGACTGCACAAAGAATCCATGAATCGCGGACTATTGTTATTCTATTTTATGCAAATCCTCGCTAGTCAACATTTTAGCATTTTATCGTGTAGCCGGCATAATTTAGTAATTGAATTAAGTTACCTTTCGCAATCGAATAAATTTTAATAATTTAATTTTAGGAGACTGTCCCTTCATACACAATAAAACATTTTATCAAATAATTAAAATCTAAAACCATTCGGCGTATTAAATTCATATTGAAGAAGTGGACATTTATAGGAATACAGGTTTTCATAAATGTTTTGTATGGCTTTGAGAAATTGTCGAGCCACAATATGAAAATAATGCGCGGCGCGGGACGCTTGATGATTTCCACTAAGCCGTAAATTCGCTTCATATTTATACGCACACGCTTCTGCATCTACGCATCCACTGGCATATACGGGAAAGCACAACTTTCACAACCATTAGAAGTCGTGGGCAACTGAAATTGAGACCTTTAAGAGCCCTAGGCCGAGTGGACCGCTCTCGTGGGCTGGCACCCACTACCAGGGGCTTGAAATAAATCCGTTGCCATGGGCCATACACGACTTTGTCAGCCAGATTTTAATTCAATTACATCTGTAGCTGCAAGTTGTGTGCAAATATTTTCATAGGAAAAATTAAATCGTAGCCCGACCCACCAGTCATACCACGCTTTAAAGCAATTCAGCAAACAAGACCAAAAAAAAATGCCCCAGGCATTCGCGTGCGCCGCTATTTGCACTTGAATACAAACATACTTGGTCAAAGGAAGTAAGAATATAGGAAAGTTACTGAATGTCTAGCAGCCTCAGAGATCTTTACTGAATCATTTGTATTATATAGTCCTATACATTAAATACTGTATTGCATAAGCCCATTGAACAGTTCCATTATTATATAATCTTCTGAAATGAAATTCGCTAGTGACGAATATGTTAACTTCGTGCATCTTTCCTAAACTATTTCCCACATACCACTTGTATTGGCAATGCATTTTCTCATAATCGATCACATTGCAGTCACTTATTCTGAAGCAGACACTTTGATTTTGATAAGCTGGCTTATAAAGAACAACAGCTACAACAATTAAAATTAAGACAAGAATCGCTTACCGCCGCAGTTTGGCTTACGGATAAGCAATAAAAGCATGAACAAAACTTTGCACAGGAAGTCGCTATGGGGCGAAAATCTGAAGCGGAAATCGAAATTTGTTAAATGGAGCAATCGATGAATAGCGTTGGATCTGACGTGCTCAACTCCACGCCCCTCGCAAGTCCACAGTTTGGTTTTACATTTTATCGCTTGTACGTTTGCACCATTTCAATTACAAACAATAACAATAAAATGTGTACGAAGGAGACTACGGGACGAGCACGAGCAAGCCGTTAAAGTTCAAGAAAATGCGTTGGCAAAAAAAAAAAGCGGAAGGAGGATTAGTTCACACGGAAGTGGCTGTCAATTGACCCCCTGTGACCCCCATGGCTCCAAGCCAGGGAACGTATTGGCGTCCGTGCGGAAGTTTGACGCCAATGCGGGAATAGTAGGTAAATATTATTGCAAGGAAATTTAAATACAAATTTTCCATTCTCGTCTGCAGTATTTCAGTTTGTAACGCTAAAGTGAACACGTTAATGGAATTGTTTGGGTTCATTTCTTCGCTCATGCCCTTTTAAATTTCTTATACGTTTTTTTAATGCATGTTTAGATATGCTTTGCAAATTTTTTAAAACAAAAACGTAAATGGAGGTATCATCAGGTATCACCAGTATCAGTATCAAAAATTATTTATAAAATTATTAGCTAGCCTACTGAAAATAAACGTTTATTCCTTAGTGAGAAGGTGCATCCTCCACGTCCTGGCAAATCTCTGAGCTCGAATAATGCGTCTTTTTTGGCGGCATTAAGCTATAACACAGTCGTTCTAACAGATTTACGACTTGCTGTGCCATTAACCATAATTAACGACCCAAGTTTGAAGGACTGTATTTTTTAATAAAAGCCATCTGTGTAACAAGATGTTATGAGATCTTTACAGCCAAGCTAACTAATCTCAACCTTGCTACAATCAATACATAGGTTGACATAATTCAAAGCAAGTAACAAAGTCTTGGAACAGAAAACTTATTTCATTAGCAAAGTCCATCAACTCAAAAGCCAGTGAAAATTACGTTGTGAGACATCCCACTTCACAATGTGTTTCTACATGTTGTGGACAATTTAATTCAACGCTAATAAAACTCCAGTAAAGTGAAATTTGTTAGCTGTTGTCGCCCTTGGCAGTCACTGGGAACGATTATCATTGACAGCCGCTGTATAAGTGACAAACGGTGGCCATGTGTTAATCTGGGACGGTCTTAGCACAGTGCAAGATTATGGGCAAGAAAAAAACAATAGGTACAGGACCAACAATACGCACAAGCAAAAACTTGCACATAAACAAAAACAAAAAAACAAACAAAATAACAGTGGTCAACATTTTTAGTTGCGGTAGAATGAATACCAAAGTGTGTTTCATGAACAACACACATTAATATAGCTACTCTCATACGTTCACAGAGAAAGACTCTTACGTAAATAGAAATACATCTCCACAGACTTGGAGACGCACATACGCTATAGGAAAAGCAATCACTGCCTTGGCAACATTTCTTATATCACAAGTGGCCAACTGTACCCCACTGATGGGGCCCGTTCATTGTTGGCTCTGTGTCTTGCGCCACTTTTATTATTATTGATGACAGTTTTGAACAGAAAATAAAAATAACAAATGCATCAAAATACTTCTCCTATCTCACCGTCTGTCCATCTCAGAAGCTTGTGCTGTGGAGGAACCTAACATAAGATCAAAGTGAAGGGAAGAAATATCTTCTTGCAGGCATAAAGTTGACTTACAATATAATGTTTTACAAGTCAATTTTTGACCGAATTGGGAAGTATACGATATAGTTATTTGATATTGATAGGAGTAAACCTAAATATATATCCGATTTTTAGAGCCAGAGACGTCTCCTTTAAAAAAATAACTACACCCCTCGCAAGGATATCAAAAGCGAACTAAACTCAAATAGGGTGGCGCACGAAGATTCCCTATAATTTAAGTTGTAAATGAACTGCTTAGCTTCTATTAAAAAGTTTTCACACCGAAAAAAATGTATACCCAAGCCGCGCTGAGACATATTCCTAATAGATGACAATGCAAAGTAACATCAACTGATACTATCATCATATACTTTGGGAGTAAAAAAGAAAAAATAAAATAATGGAGAAAAAGCAACTCAGGAATAAGATTTAACGAAAAACTAATTTCATTAGGTTGGCAGCAGCCGTCACGCGAAACTGCGAAAAATAAAATATAAAAGTTTCTTCCCGAATTTTTTATTTACATAAAGATGTGTGGAAGCAATGCCACAAAAAGACCCACAAGGCAAGATAAATTACCGGAAAGTGTATACTGTACAGACATCTGTTGTCCCTTTTGCCGTAAGCTCCAGATATTTTTTGTAACTTTTTCTTCTACAAAGTTAAACTAACTCTGATGCAGCACATCAACAAATTTTTATAATTTTTGCTCCAGTTGGAAACAAATGTCTGAATAGTACGTGCTCCATCAATTTTATACTTTATATTCCCTGCCTACCGAGTTACCCAAACGCAAACAAACTCACACATACACACATCCACATATTGAGCTGACACACCCAATTGATTAACCTAAGCCACACGCCATAGCAACTTTGCTGAGTAGAGCTGAGGCAGCACACCCAAGTTAATTTTGAACCGTTTATCAAATGGCGCTGAGCTGAAAACTTAGAATGCATGTGCTGCCGGATGCCAGACTAAAAGCATGGGTGAGTAGTGCACCTTGGCTGGCCGGCTCAACCAGCTGGTGGCAGATGCAGCCTGGCCATAATGCAAAATAGCAAAATAGGAGCAAAAACTAGATATCAAACAAACCTAGATGGACTGAGCATCAAATATGATGTTACAAAATCCGGTGGGAGCGTTGCTCAGCTATTTGTCAAATTTGGCTCTGCTTAGCTCTTTGGCAAAAATTGATGACTTGTGAAAATTCCGACATTATGAAAACTGAAGTGGGCAACAACTTACACAAAGTGTGGGGCACAAGGAGTTGACTCAACAGCCAACAGCTGTAAAGCATATTTTTTCACTTCTTAACAGAATAATGTGAGAACTCAGTCAGAACATGACAATTGCAGCTTGTGGTTCTACTTTGCACAGTGTCACGCCAATTTCGAAGCACTTAACGCCTGGTTTCTGACTGTGCAATCGGCGCAAAAACAGTGTAAACTGCAAGCAACCAACACGAAATGATTTTTCATGAATTCTCCTTGACACGTATACACCTTGAGGCAACGCATGCGTTGCCACTAACTGCTGGGGTGTAAACATTTGCCGCTCGAATGAAGCGCCCAATGAGGCGACTCAGACGAGTGCATAAAGCATGCTCACACAGCCACCACATGTGGCTGCTAGGGTAACCCAAAACAAATATTATATGAAAAGTCGGTAAAGGTGAGCAAGGCTAAGTTGACAGCGGTAGCCCCTACAAGATCGCATAGCTGCAAAGTCAAACCAACATAGTATTGAAGCGATAGATATTATGTAAAATAGTGTTAAGTGAAACTGAAACAATGTTACGAAACAACTTCACCTTCTTTGCTCGCAGAGTGCGATTTTTATTATGCACGTGCATTCAAAATGTCCATATTCCTCACGGCTCAGACAAAGGCAACTTTCAACAAAGCTGAGGTGTAGTTCCCATACAACGTGTTAAACTAGGCGTCCGTTTTCAAGTACGCGTATTTTCCGATCCATTTATCACAGCAAGAGCAGCCACAACCAGAACAGCTCCTATAATATCAGCAAAGATGCCTGGTAACAAAGCGGCAGCCTATGCCCCATTATGCCCTGCGTGTGTGGGTGAAGTTCGAGCCAGTTAACGGAAAAATGCAATAAATGCAGCAAATGTGTTGCTTTGTGTGGCTGCTGCTGTTAAACGCATTTTATAGAAACTGCATTCATGCAACACAGCCAACGCCCATTTGTATGCAATATTTTTTGCACTCTATGTGAATGGCTTTTATTATAATCGTTTGCTCGCCGAGGCATCAAAAGCAGGGCTCTTTAGCACGAATTTCCATCACAAAACGGGCCAATTAGCGAGCGTTAAATGCAAACGATTTTGATTGCAAAATAATTACCATCACTGAAGACATTTTAGAATGTTAATCTCGAATCATGCGACTAAGTATTGTAGTTAGTTATAGACGTGAAAGAGAAGAAGCATTGACTGCTTGTCGAAGCGTGGCTTCAGTATATTTCCCAAAAAGCGGTCATAAAGTGGCAGGACTAGGAAGAAGCTCATGTCTGTTTTGCTGTTTTTGCTATAAAACTTTTATTATACATATGTACATAAAGTAGACGTACTAAGGGAGACTGTACACAAATTTGTCCTAAATTTTGCTTAAATGGGTCACTGCTATCATTGGCTTGGCCACCTGGTGAACGAAGTGTTTGATTAGCTGACACACACCCAGTCTATCAGACTTGGTGAACGAATGCTTAAATTTTTCAAGACTTCAATTTAAAGTTGCATCTAGTAAAAATGCAGCCTTTGAAAACCCAAAGCAATTTACTCGCAATCGCAGCGAAGGCCATAAATTTAAGTCCAATGCGAACCGAGGCATTGCTGTTCACCAAATTCAAAGCTGACCACATTCAAATTTTTCAAGCCACACAAATCCGCGTTGACTGGCTTTGTACTAAAAGCAGAAAGCAAAGAAGTGAGGTATAAGGAAACAACGTAGTACTGCACGCAATGTGGCTCGGCGTTGAGATACCTAATGACATGCTACAAGAGTCAACGCATAACCAAAGACAGTGCTGACCCAGCATTTTACTGGCCCAAGCACAGGGTATAAAACAAAATTGCTACAAGGGTTAACATGGGCAACAGACGTGGAAGCGACCGCAACAATTTCTACAGCCGTGGGCAACTTAATTTCAATATAAATAAATAAAATTCGTACAATGTTTTCTTTTTGGCTCTTTTCAACATCATGTTTTCGCGCAGCTGCCAACCTGCTGCCAAGTCCTGGGGATCAGGGGAAACCAGCATTTGAAAGACCTGCCCAATGCAATACGTTCATTTGTTAGAGCTCTTCCTTGCTTGCTCTAGTACAAGCACTTTAAAAAAAAAAAAACAAACTGTATTCAGTAAAAATAACCTAAGAGCATACTTTTGGAGCTATCAGCCCTGAAAAACTCGCCTCTTGCAGCCGCAAATGCTACGAAAAATTAAGATAAATTCAATTTGCTTGACTCCGGCAGAAGGCACACAAATAATCCCATATACAGTTCTTATTGCCACCACACATCCGGTCAACAAGTTGTTGGTTGTCTTGCCCCGGCATAAGATGTTTTAGCATCTAGTGCGTATGCCGGTCTCGGTCTGGCTTTTGTCATTGCCACACATAAGTATAAATAAGTGTAGGAGAGAGCATATAGCCGTATGGCCATGGCCATAGACATACTTACTAGAACGACTGTGCTTATACTTTTTGCCTCTGCGTTGTGCATGCGCTATTGAAATTCAATAAGGGCGACTGCCGTGGCTTACATTATGCTGGCAGGACCACAAAGTCGCCTTCTCCTAGCCAATAACGACGTTCGCTCCATTCCCACAGCACAAACAACTGGTGTAGCCGTGTCCTACTGGGATGTGGCTATATGTGTGCGATGACTTTCATTACTATGAAATTGATTTCCGCTTATGGCACTTTGGTATTGCTTACATGTTGCGTCTGCTGCAAACACTGACAGGCACCACTCACGAACAATGAATGACTTTTTCTGTCGCTTATCTTCATCAACATGGAAAAGTCTTCGACAGATATGCTAGGCCACTGAGCTGATTAGGATAATGACTTTAATAAGCTTGCCAGTTCGTAGGCGCTGAAGGGCAATTATTCAATTAATTGTGCTTACGTATTTAATTATATTTTTGATGCTGCTGGTGCGGTTGATTTTTAAGACTACGTGACTTATCCTCGGGGCATACTTTGCAATTAAAATTGTTGCACTGTCAACGGCAGCTAAATGCTTTCAGGCTGCGCGTCAGGATGTTAATTGCTCATAATTGAGCATTGCACATGCACTTTAAGTGGCCGGCAAAGGGAAAGGAAGTATGCAACTTCTGAACGCTAATTAAAGGACTCGTTCAGAAGGCGAAACGCCTTGTAAGACCATTTTCTATTGCTGCCCTGAAATAATTAGCCCAAGATGTTTTGACTACGTTGAAAACTTAATTGCAGCGCACACGCTAATTGCCCAACGGATGTGGTAGTAAATTGATGACGTATAATTAAACAATAAAGAACGGATATATTCACAAAAGGTATATACACAAAAGGTTTTTTTCGACCGATTGATCCTATGGGACCCATATTTCTTAAATGGCCTATCTGATATCATAGTGAAACTTTTATATGACAAGTGTGGTCAAGATATCTTAAAGATAAACTATTTTAAACAATGGCATATTATAATGGCCTCGACATATATTTACTGCCTGTAATAAAAAAATAGATCTATGCGACTGACTTGGGTTAATTACCAACATATATATATTTATATGTACATTACACAAATACGTTACGTTTTGCCAAAATTTAATACTACCCCTACAAGGAAAGAAGCATCCAACAAACTGACCAAACAAAACAATTTATTAAAATGCTTTAGCTATAAAAATAAATATCGATAAAACTAAACAAGTATACATATGTCATGCGGCTGTTCAACGAAATGCAATTGCTGCCGTGCATGTTGCAGAAAGGTATCAGGATGGTCGGTTGCATTTGCAGTTGATTTATTAGTGAAAGCAAATCACTTGCTAAAAAATAAACGAAAATACGTAAAATTGAATGCATGCTAGAGGCAAAACAAGCAGTAAGCTCCTAGTATGCAGTACACAAAATGCGTATATTGCGTGTGTCTAAAATGCTCCAGGAATCACTCGGTGTCCATTTGGTCGATATTACAATTTGCATACTCGTGGTCGTGTCTTCTGCAAGAGGCTGGCGGGAGTGTGTTAAAAACAAAAGTGCACTTCATTAAACAACCATCAAAACAACTCAATAAAATAATATTTTTCAGAGAGAATAAAACGAATTGTGGCTGCGTATGTAGATTTGAATGTGGTTGAATGTAAATGTGTGTGCCACATGTACCAAAAACTATATAAATATCGCAAACAACGAAACTTTTCCGATTCAAATGCGATAACATTGCGCGGCAGGCCACAAATTTCTGGTTATCCTCATATTTACTGCAAACAGACAAGCGCACAGGCCCATGGGCATTTCATATATCCAAGGCCGAACCCGAACCATATTAGGACTTGACAAGCTACTGATGGTATTTTTGTTATGCTTTTAACTGCAAAGAGCACAAATGTAACTATATTAATTTAATGAAATGCAGTCCATCAAATCCTAAGCAGTTGGAATGCATCTATAAGCGATACTTAGTTACAGTTTCATGCATGCTGTCTGATGTGTCAGTCAGATGTGTCAGTCATCCTTAGTTTTCTCGCTTGGCAGCAACCATGCGGGGAAGGAAGTCACTAGGATTTGCCATCGCTGCAAATTGGACGAAGAATAAAAATGCTGTACGTCAATAAAAATTTGTCATATAAACGTAAGTGGCTCTAGCCTATAACCATTTGTATACCATGTGCCGTTTAATGGAATGTATTATTATATACCTCGTGCAGGGATCAAACAAAATGCTCAAGATCACGACAATCTGCCATCTTATCGAGTACTTCAAGTTTTACTAGAACAACTTTTTGGATGAGATGTTACTTAGTTCATTTCATATTGATGTATTTGAAAGCAAAGGAACACCCGAATCAAGACTCGAACTCTTATTTGTTCATGTGGCAAAAATCACACAAAGTCACAAAATAAGCGAAACAGTCTTAACCACTACGATGGCTAAATAAACTCATAGGTAAGCCGTTATGCGCAGACAAGAAAACACTCCTAATATCGACAGGAAGTTGACAAAACTAGGGAAATGAGAGAATGAATGGATCAACACAAACACCAGTATAATAAATTACATACGAGCTGGACGCAAAGCATTGCGTTGACGATTTGATGCTTAGTGGGGATGCGGACATAAAGTTGTGTCCTTTGTCTTGCAAACTTTGGCATTGTTTAGTTGAATTCTTTCAAGGAATATGTGGTGATTATTAAGATTAATAATACGACTTGCAGCCACAGGGCGGGTGACGAGCTACCCAGTTGATGTGTTTTTAATGAGATGGTCGACAACAGAATCACGAGCTTCGCCGCCAACACCGCAGAAGCAATTAAAGAGCATCAATTAATATTAAATATTTCAGCGGCATTTAAATGAAATAATTCGCAGTCGCCATCAATCCAACCACAAAATGGCCCGAATTGGCCAATGAGCCGCTGGCTTATAGCCGTCAAGAAGACAGGCGAGCACTGACATACAATGAAAAACTTTGCCGGTATTCCGTATGAAATTTTCATTAACCAAAGAAACCAAAGTGATTTGGTAGTTGCTACCCCATCGCCCCAGCAGCCAAGTTTCAAGTGAAAACTTTTCGACTTGCGCCAACTGGACACATGTTACAAAATTCGCAAATACATTTTTGGTTCTGAGAAAGTTTTCACGCATTCGAAATGCAAATGAAATGCGCGCGATTGTTGACAAGCGAACCGGGAACGAAGTTGAAGTGAACAAAGTTGAACCGAGGCTGCATTTCTTATGAGCGACGAAATGAAAATATTTCAAAAAGCATTTCAATTTCTCCAGCTATACTCGTAATTGAAATTTGCATTTGTATGATGCTTGCATACAAAAAAACAAAAGCAAAAAGTGAACTTTGCCCAGCTAAGACAAGCAAAAAGAAACCTTGGGTCGGGTCGACTCCACCATTGCCAGTTGACTGCCTGGCAAAAAATATAAAGAAAAAAAAAAAATGAAAAACAATTAAGCGCCGCGTCGTGGAATTTTGATTGCAAATTTTTACACCAGAGGAAACCGACAGTGGAGCATTCGTTTAAGGCCTGGTCAAAATATATCTTATGCCAATTTTTTTAATTCATTAAAGCACGAATGTATGCATGTATGTATATATTTTCAGCCACTTAAAGATTAAATCGTATTTTTGTAATTTTAATGCAACAGTGGCATTTTACCAAAATCCGAGACTGTAACAAACTAAAAGCAAGGTGCACTAGCATACCAAGCAAATAATAGCCAGAATGCCTTCATTTGCAAAGACTGCAAAGAATTCTAAAAACTTCCTTGAATCGAAAACAAAAAATACCTAAAACTTTTACCAGCCAGCATTGCCGAGGACCGCAAATTGTTTTAAGTCAGACAGAAGGCTGAACATACTCGCGGAAAAAAACAACAAATATTAGTACTTGTAAAAAGTACAAGCCTCGCAAACAAGGTATCCTCTACCTGGCAGCAAATTTTCAACGAGTCACTGACCAACACAAAACAGGCCAAGCATTGTAGCGCACACTTGACCAAGAAGGCAGCTCCAGTCGGCAAACCGTAAATTTTATTGCATGACTTGATTAAATTCGCATACAACCTCAGCTAGACGGACGGAGGTCGAAGCTGGGTCAGTCAATTCAAAGAAATAAAAACCATGGCCTTTCAGGCTTTTTTTCTGGCATTTTCCCCATTTTAACGTTTTAACGAAACTTAATGAACTTTCAGTGTCACAGCAAAAAGAGTCACCAGCACCTTCTGTGTCTGCATTTAATGTTATGATGGATATTGTGCAAGCCGAAAAGCAATTTTGAACTTTTTAAACAATGTTTAAATGTGTGGGAGCTATTATGAGTTCCGTTTCTATGGTTTCCAGTGACAAGCCAACTGGGTTTTCTATGAATAGTTGCTTAAATATGCCTCACAAGACTTGAAAGCATTTACAGTAATTAGACGCAAATAAGGAGCGAACGCTCGACTTAACGATTCCCTCTAATATATTTCCAATGTGAGAAGCAGCATTCGAACTACAAGCGTTCATATATATTTTTAGTAATTAGAAGCAAATAAGAAGCTAACGCTCCCTCTAATATATTTCCAATGTGGGAAGAAGCATTCGATCTACAAGCTTTATATATATTTTTGATGTATGTAACTCGAATTCGTTAAAAGAAAAAAGACAATTTAATGTGCTTTCTTAAGAAGATCAAAACGTATATATATTGATACTATGCCCCTTTATATACATTTTTTGGAAATTTGACTTACGAAGGATGCTGAGTAGTTTAGCGGTTTGGGGCTTGGTGCTACGCTGCGCAAAATTTAACGAAGCTTAACCTCGCTCAATGGCAAAAAATCCACTTTACTTACACTTTGGACTGTCATTTCGGGCGCAGCTCAAGCAGCAATTGTGCAAATGGGAGGAGTTCAGTAAGTGGTCGACGGGACAAATGTGTCGAGAGTTAGCGAACTTTTTCAAGCTAAATGCAAGCAAAAATGATGAATGAGCTGCAAGTAGCAGCCACGTCTCATGCTGCTCAACGCGGAATGTAGTGAGAAATTATTCTGATTTTCGCAAACGCCAACGCTTGCCAATGGCTATGGCAGAGTTGAACGTGTCATCTATAAACTATGCAAGAAAAAGGAAAAAGCTAGATTACTTTGGATACACAACAATGAAACTGAAATCGAAAGTGCGACAGCGTAATACCGGAAATTGGTTTCATATGACACTGGTATCATATGGACTGCAACATAGCAAAGACAAGGCGATGCTTTCCTGCGTACCTAAACCCAGGCGCAAACCGCAAACACATAATATATACCAGGCCAATAACGCCATACAACCACAAGTGTGATGAGTATATGCGCTATGTGTGAAATATGATGCAGATGGTGTGTCTACGGATAGATTAACCTTCTCTTTGCATGCTAGTAGACAGGGAAAAGGGCGCCTCATTTAGTTTAGGTGAAAGTGAACGCAATTAATAATAGAAACCAAGCGAAGCAGTGAACTTGACTCTCAGCTCAATGCCCTAACCAGACATTTGTATATCGTATTACACATACGTGAGGGCTATAAAAACGTAGCTGCATCTACGCAATGTCACACTTGAAATCCAACAGCGACTTAGTGCTCTGCTTCCTGTGCTCTTCGGCAAGGATTAGCTAGTTGATATAAGCAAAAGAACAGGCTATCAAGTAATCTCGGCTAACCAAAAGCATGAAGACACCCAGCGACGTGCAATGTCGAAATTGGCAAAATACAAACAATCGATTAATGATCAATGAATTCAGGTGGCCCTGGCTATTGCCGCTGTTGTTCTTGTTCATATCAATGAGCCCGACGGCCGCGATAATGGCGTCGCTGCCACTGGAGCCGCTTCTGAGTGAACTGCCGTCAGCTTTGCGCCCACACCACCACACCAGAAGCAATTACCATGACCCGAACAAGGAGCCGTTTGCAGGAGTAGCAGGATATACGAGTACACGACATTATTATGGCGCAACCACTGCAGCTGCTGACGGCCAACCGCTAGATGATGGCGTGGGTGACTTGGCAGCGGCACCATATGCAAATTATGAACCAAAAGCCGTCAGTGCTCTTAGTAGCACAGCCACCGGCTTTGTGCCAACGAGCACGCTACAGAGCTACAACAACAGATTGCAGTCGGACTACGATGCTCGGCATCAGGGCAAAATCGATTTTGTCATTAATACGGCAAATTATGAGCTTGATGCCAATGACGAGCAGCCCGACTATCAAAGCTATTCATATCAGCCACGGGCGCTAGTGTCGCCCCTACGCGATTATCATATTGAGCAATTTTCCAATTATCGCCATCCGGCTGTAGGCCGAGAGCAGGAAAGGGTGGCATTGCACCAACGACAAGTCAGCGATAGCAGCATGTTTGCCTTTGGCGGTAGTAGGCTGCGCCCCGAATTCGACTTGCCTGTTAAACGACAACAACAGGAATCCACCCAACATTATCGAGCGGAACCACAGCCGCAACAAGAGGATCAGCAACTGCTTTACTCTCAGGCACAGGGTCACATTGCCGATCTGTCGGACAGTGGTAGTACTCGTAACTCCTTGCCTCCTATCACAACTAGTGTCCATCATACCGCATCGAGCAGCAAAGCGATCGCTGGACTTCCACTGGCTAAGCATATTGAGGTCACCAAACACGTACCAATAACTCACTATCAAAAACAACACGTGCCCTACAAGCAGCCGGTTCAGATACGCGTTCCCCGACCTGTGATTGCGGCCATTCCGAAGCCTATTCCTATCAAGATACCCGTCTCAAAGACAGTGGCCGTGCCTCAGCTTCAGGAAGTCAAAATACCATTGGAAAAGGTTAAGCCAGTGGCTGTAGAGCGACCGATTCCATTTGTCGTGGAGCGCCGGGTACCCTACCGCGTGGAAAAGCCAATAGCCACTCCCATCTACTACCCATATCCCGTTAAAGTGCCTATTGTACGGACAGTGGTGCACAAACAAAATCCGCAATACGTAATACCCACACAGGGGATGGGAACATATGGAGAATGGAATTCTGGTAATCATCTGCTGGGATAAACAGTAGGTGTAAATCAAACAAAATCATATTTATATTTTATTTTATATTTTATTTTATATACCTACTAGAAATAAAGTATAGAATCTATACAAATCTTATAATAGTGAGCCTATATGGAACAAAGTACATAATAATACAAGTATATTGTTATATATATATGTGTGATTGAGTCGGACATGGCTAGATCGACTCGGCTATTGATGCTGATCGAGAATATATATACTTTATGAGGTCGGAGATGCTTCCTTCTTCCTGTTACATACATTTGGATTTTGCACAAATACAATATACCCTTATACTCATTTTTAATGGGTTCAGGGTATAACAAACATATACACATGTATATACAAACAAGCATACATATTTATGCAGACTTAAAACATCGCCCAAAAATCATCGCATTTGCCACCGAGAAAGCTGGGATTCTGTGAAGCACGTCTCAAATGATTTTTCGCATGCGAGTGGTGTTTCACGAAACCCCGTCTTAACGTGTACCTTCATTATTTAAGGTAACTACTGTGAAAATTTCAGCTTTATAGCTCTTACAGTTTGGGCTTTGCGTTGATCTCCAATCAGTCAGTCAGTCAGGACAAATAGTTTCATATATAGAGATTATTATATAAGTGTCTTAAAATAATAATTCGTTTATATGGTTTTAAGAAGTCCATGTAAACCACTGCTTAGTCACTGGCATTTAACCCTTGATGTCTAGAGCAAAATAATTGCAATTAAAGCCAGAGAGGACTACGAAATTGCAATGCAACTCAAAAACTTTCTCCCCCGCAGCTCAGCAGAACTGAGTAGAGCATAGCCAAACAAGACATTGAAGTCAGAGTCAGAGGCCAACCTCCAAATGAAGAAAAGTAGCCAAGTAAAACTTTTTAATTGAGCTAAGATCCAACGAATGCGGCTAATAAATATGTATTGAAGTGCGGCACAGCGGCGGGTATGCAATGCAAAGGGACAAGTGTAAGAGAATGCAGCTGCTAATTGCCAAATGTAACTTCAAAAACAACAACAACAAAACCAAAAAGCACGTAACGAAACACAACAACAATTCTGCACTAAATAAACGCGACGTTCAACTTCGGAAGGGCGTTAACAGAACAGCAACAAAATTAGCCAAAAAGTAATGTCTTGGCTCAGCTAGCTTGAAGCGTTTCGGGTGGTAGCTGATGGAATTGCTGCAAATTATTGCCGACTAATGAAATTAACTCTAATTGACTCGGAAGTCCTGGGCTAGTGCTTGTTGAGCATTCTTTAGCATTTTTTTTATATAACTTCAACATTCTTAAGGTTACCCAAAACTAATGGATTATAGCCTATATGATAAAAGGTCGCAAAGAAATAATACTTATATGGGACGGGTATGCCGACAGAAAGAACACGAACCGAAATTTAAAATTTAAATTATTACCCTTCAAAATTAGACCTAATAATCAGTTAGTATAACAAATGAACTCTTTTGTGGCTTATCATAGACATGCAGGCGTACACATGTGTATATACATATGTGTTCTACATAAGTGTGTGTGTCACAGCGCACATAAATTTATAATTGTAGTACCCGCAAAACCACTTCGTTAAGAATACTGTGGCTAGTTTGACAACTTCCCCACAACTGGCCGGAACCCGACAAATGACGGCGAACGGCAAATACGAAAGCCGCAAATCGCAATGAACATGCATGCACGCGGTCAAATTGACATCCAGCACGCTGCTGATGAGGCTGGTTAAGCAGTAGTACGGCGAAAGTTAGAGTATGTCTAGTTGTACACCGTATATTCAATTATAAGTATGCATGTATGCCTGTACATGCGAATGCACAAGCGCCAGTCACCATGTTGCTATCTGTGATTGCTTACCATTAATTTGTCACGCACACGCCACATACCTGGAAGGAGTACAGATATGAACCCTTTTTAGTAGTACACTCTAACATTGGCGGAGAGCCATGTCAACGGTGCGTCATAGAAGGACATTTTGGTACATCAGTGTAAAAAAAATGCCAAATTTCAAAAAGCACACATCCTTAAAGAGTCGTAGGCGGCGGTCGAGCATCAAAATGACTTTATAATTTGGCAAATGACTCTACACTTTGTGTAGAGCGAACGTTAAATGCTGCAGAAGCGTACGCCAATGGGGTGGCTAAACATTAAAAATTAATCAGCAATTCCACCTCAAAACTTTGATAATTTCAACGTTGCTATAATAACAAGAAGCAAAAACCTGAACCAAAGCCAAATGGTTGGCTGGTGCGCGAAATATGGCGACAAAAAGAAACGTTTTTGAAAAATGACAGCTAAACTACACCGAAAACAGTTGGTGCCCTTCACCAGACCGCAGCTCTAAAACTTTTAACCCATTTCGAGGGGCGCGCGGACCCCTTTCAAAGTTGGCCAGGCCAGGCCAGCCAGCTTTTGGTTTTTCAAATTTATGTGCGACATAAAATTTTGACTCAGGTGGGTGTAATTTTTTATGTTAACACCGAGCGGGATGCCTTAGTGTTAATATACTTTCTGGCTTGCTTGATAGCTTTAATTGGTTCGCTTGCGTCACAAACTTGCAGGAGAAACTGTGTACTGTACTAAAATACAAGCGGAACTTTTCTCAGCTTATGAACCTAAAAGGCGGTCAATTTTTCGGACGTTCACTTGGCGTATGAGTGATTTTTCATGTTGGAAAATTTATGGGTTGCTCGTTTGTATAGACCTGTGTTTGTATGCGCGTGTGTTTTGTACAAAACTAAAGTGCAGCTAGTGTGTACATTTTGCGATTACCATAAATTATTTACGCTTCACTTTAAAATGTTTAGCGCACACAATCATAATTTTGGCAAGGACATACACACCCATAACCATATTCATAGGCAGCACAGAAGGGCATAAAAGGATTTATGTCAACTGACACAATAGCGGAGTTTCAGGAGAAGGATATGGAAGCATGGCCGACGTTTTTAGTTACTATTCAAACTTTACTCAGGCGAATAATTGTTATTAAAGGTCGCAATTAAGATACAAAAGGACAAAATGGAGGGGCAACTTGTCCATGAACGAGGGTGAGCTTTGACAGCTGTGCCTGGCGTATCCTTAAAATTGAGCATTGTCATTTAGAAATCAGCTGCAAATTTCTTGAGCTCTACATACATTTTTCATGACACATTATCCAAAATTCAAAAACTACTACGTTCCCAGCTGCTCAGGTTCTCATCCAAACTGTTTCAGAACTAGCGACACTCTTTTTCCTGCGTAAATGTATTCCGTTGCACACAGGTCAGCCTGATTGACAATTGCTACAGAGGAATGCAATTCAATAATTCTGATCTAGACACTGACTCAGCTGCACTCATTAGTTTTCAAACTTAACAGCTGCAAAAGCAAACAAGCCTGACTCATATTTCAACCGTGGCTATTATTCAAGATACGCAAACAGAGACACACGCATAATGAGCAAAAACTGTGAACAACAGGTCGTGCAGAAACACAAACAAATGTTACAAACATGAAACAATTCCTAAAGACCTGTTAACAAGCTGACAGGAAATTATTTATTGCCAGCAATGACAGAAATTATGAACTCAAGCTATCTTGCAGGTCTCTGATATATATTTCCACATAGTCACTCAATAAAGAGTCCGTAGTTTACCACACTTGGAATCTAAGATAGCAATATGCATCTAGAAATATGTACAATTGACAAAAAAATATTGCATACGCAAATCATAGAAATATACCATAGGAAAAAGAGTTTTGCAAAATTATTTATTAAAGTTTCTTAAAATGAAGACTAGCTCAGTCACACAACAATTTGTAGAATAGTAATTAAATATAACAGTGCACACTCTCCAACTGTAAATACTCCTGAATGCTTTCGATACAGAACATTAATGCCAACAACACATGTGGCATTTACCATACTATGCTATTTAAGAGGGGAAAGTCCTTTTAAGGCTATTTGTATTCGTATTTCTGTTGTGCATACAAATGAAAATATATGCGGCAACCATCTGGTAATTGGCAACTTATTTAAGCCATTTATATTCCAAAGTGGGCGTTGAGGCTAAACAGGCACACGGGCAACACGTAAATCATTTTATCCAACAGCAGACACAATCCGCAAAAATTTACCTGAATAAGTATGTCCTATTCGTGTTTAGGAGTATGTCGGCGAGTGTTAACAATGTTTCCCATAAGCCGTGCCCTGTGTCGCAGTTTAGATGGGCAAAACCCTAAAAATGCTATCACATCGCGAAAATCTAAGGCAGCTGCAGCGCTGACCCTAAAAAAAGAGACTATCCTAAATTGTATGAATATCAAGAAGTAACAACTTAAGCCTCCATCTCGCTGAGTGGCGATATATTTTTTATACCCTGAACCCATTAAAAATGGGAAGAAGAGGGTTCGGGGTAGATCGACTCGGCTATTGGTACTGATCAAGTATATATATACTTTATGCGGTCGGAGATGCTTCCTTCTGCCTGTTACATACATTTGGATTTTGAACAAATACAATATACCCTTATACCCATTTTTAATGGGTTCAGGGTATAAAAATGGGGATAAAACATACCCATACTTAGCTAGAGGAGAGTCGGGACTAATGCCCACGATTCCACAATCTACATAATCAAATAATTTAACAACCAGTTTAAAATGGATTGTAGTGCGGAATATTATGTGTATGTGTGTAAATTGTATTATGCTTCGCCCATATATACTGTGCAAAATCATATTTTCAAAACTTATACAAAAATATTTCTACGTATAAGTAACTCGCTACAGCAAACTTTTTTGGTAATATATTGCGTGCAGACAACTTTCATTATGCAAAAGTTTTTTAATAATACTACAAACATAGTGGCTGAATAGAGCACACACACAACACACACCTCCTCATACAATACTCACTAGCAGTCATTATTAAAAGCCTCTGTTTTTTTTTTGCCACTGAATGTGCATATAATTGTGTTTAGAGTATACAATTTTGGGTGTTCTGTCAACTTTGAATTTTAAATAATTTATTTAATACGCAAGAACGAAAAACGAGCACCGTCAAGTGTGTAGGATGTGCAGCCGTTTTTGACACCAGTCCGAAAGCCAAATAAAAGAAGACTGTTCCTGCCCCGATTCACCTTCTAATGCTTTAGTAATGTATTGCTGTATTAAATATTTGTGAAAGACATCCAATGAGCTGTTGCCATGCCTAAAGGAGAATCAAACTTTACTGTACAAAAATAAGTTCAATTTCTAGGATGGTGCTCATGAATTTTGCTAGCTACTTAACAACTTGCTAACGAGCATCAAAGATCAATACATGAAGAAGATATATAAGTGGAAATCTATTTTTTTAACATAAAGATAATAGAAGGTAAGTCCTACAACTCTTTCGACTACGGCAATGTTAGTAATTAAAAAATAAAAATAAAAATGGAAATCGGAATATTTTATGAGTTCGTTTTTATACCTCTGTGAAAAGTGCATTAGGTGAAGTCTAGTGCGAACTTCTATTAGTGAAGTAGAACGGAAGCTACCACCCAGCCAAGACTTATCAGCCGTATGAAGTGTATGCACCACATTCACACGTATGCACACACTTATGGCAAGGCAAGGCAAGGCTTTGTATGCAAAATAAAGTGCTTCAAAAGTCACTTAAAGTGTGTCGCTGGATCCCTCCCAGCATAAAGACCGTAAAAAATGTTAAATGATAAATAAAATTTACAACCGCAACAACAAGAGGGACATCAACAGCAGCAGCAGCGGCGCCGACAGCGACATGCAAAGTCACAAGCGCCGAGAGCCGACAATGATATGAGGGGGGGAAGGGTGCAGATGGTTTGTAGAGGGGGAGGGTTGGGGCTGGGCAGCATATGGAGCGAGCAATGGAGTTTTTTCTGCTGCTCGCTTTGTTGTTGCAGGCGACATAATAAAATGCAATTTAGACATCAAAAATACAGTAAATGGAGCGGGCGAAGAAGCAGAGCCAAGGACGTGAACGTGGACTAAAACGAGAAAGAGTAAGAGTAAAAGAAAGAGAGCCACATACAACCACATGACTGACAAGCGGCTGGCAAAGGCAAACGACCACAACCACACACAGCTGCAACAAAGAAACGCGCGGCGCGGTGCGGCCCGGATTGAAGCACGCAGGACGAGCCATGCAAATGCCTAAGTGTGCGTGCGAGCTGTTCAAAATGGCGGCGAAAGACGCGCAGTGCATGTGAGCAATTGAGTTTTATTTTGTCACGAACGGGAGATGGAGACAGCCAAATGATGAATGATATATGTTTGTGCTTCCATGTCGGAGTATAACTGTCTCTCTGCCTGTGCCTGTTTGTCTACTTGCGAAATGCGAATAAATTACAATAATTTAATGACAGTTAATGGGCATTTAAATAAGCCAAACCAAATACTTACTCCTAGCTAACCAAGTTAGTCCAACAATGTGAGAAGATGTGCTGCACAAGACAGAGCTGATTTAGCGACTTGCATGCGACTCGTTTCAAATACTGTCACTGCAGTGTTCCAACACAATCCAGGCAAAATACAAACTGCCATCAGGTCAAGGCAGAGACAGAGAGATAAATACTGAGAACAGCTGTGCATTCCGATCCGTAGCAGGGAAACAAAAGGTGTGCTCTTAATTTAATTAAAGTTTGCGTGACGGTAGCTCTAGCTGGCTGGAATTGCTCAAATTGCTCCGTAGGCATAAGGATGTCCTGCTGCTAGATTCTACTAAGGATGTAATGGTCTGTAAATAGCATTTGGCAGTTTGAAAACAACAACAACAGCCGCCTAGATGAACTTCACTTCGTTTAACAGAATTCCATTTTGTGCGATTTAAGTGAATAAATTTGCCCGATTGCCTTGATGGCGCCTGTGTACATAATAAATGCAGCGTTAAATAACGGCTAAAAAAAAGCTCGACCTCAACTGACGATTTCTGAAAATGAGTTAATGCAACGCATTCTCGTTTGTTTTATACTTATTTCTGTATTCATACAAATGCAAATGGTTGTAATGTTAAATGAGTCACAAAATTGGTATACAACACAGGATTTTGGCTTAACAAAATTCATTTTACAACTCGACGATAAACACAACACGAACTGTGCAAAATTGCATGACAGCGTTTGCAAAACGCTTTGCTGGTGTACGGGACGTATGAGTAATGTAATTATTGCTAATGGAATGAATGTTCGCGATTATGCTTATGTGAAGAGTGGAGTGCAGTGAAGAGTTACCACCAGCCTTTGACCTTGTGCAGGATTGTCTTAAATACTGGCACCTTGACAGGGAATGGCTTGGGCACCTTGATTGGCAAATACTTGACGACCGTGTATGGTACCCGCTTCTCTACAGGTACTGGGATGTGCTTTTCCACTGGCACCGGCACGATGCGCTCCACCGGCACTTTTAGCTCCTTCTCGACCGCCACTTGTACTTGCTTAGTGATGGGTATGTGGATTGGAACTGGCTTCTTGATCGGAATGATAACAGCATGGGAGATGGGTATTTTGACAGTTTTCTCCACGGGCACGTGTTGCTTCTTAACATGCTTTACAGGCACATAGTTGATAATATCCACATGGTGATGTGACTGATGGGAATGAGCGTGACTTTCATCGTGGCCACTTGACTCGGCCAGAAAATTGGAGCTCTGCTCCTCGCCGTCCTGGTGCTGTTCGTAATCACTTGGTCCGCTGGCTGAAGAGCCCGATCCTGTCGCAGATGCCGCACCTTCATGAGGTGTGAAATAGGAAACGTGTTCCAGCTGTTCCTGCTGTTGTTGCTGCTGCTGCTGTTGATGATGCTGCTCCTCAGCGTGATGCTGCTGAAATGCTTCGTATCCTGAATTCAGATAATTTCCCACTGACATTTTGTCGTAGGCGTAATGGTTGCCCGCCTGTTCCGGCTGATATCCTACCGCTTTCTTATATTGCTGAGCAGATGAAGGCGCCCAGGAGCCTTGCTCTCCTCCACCAAATGACGGCAGAAAGCCATCCGCGTGCTCTCCAATAGCCGCTGGATAATTGTAAATCGCTGAGTTGAAGCCCGCAGTTGAGTGCTGCTGGATGTGTTCCCCACCGCCGTAACCGCTTTGACCTGCCCCTATATCGCCGTAATCGTGGGCTGTTGCCGCCACCGCCGCCACGGCCGCGTCCTCATGCTGCTCCTCATAAATTGGTATCTCTTGTTTTGACGAAGCCACTGCTAAGGCTTCGGTGTGCGTGGGCGCCACTGAGCCGTAGCCGTTTGTAATGTGTCCCATGCCCGAGAGATTTGTGAGCCCATTAAGCACGGCTCCTAGTCCGCCCTGGCCATGTCCGCTAAAACCAGAGGAATCGCTACTGTAGCTGCGCCGCTCCCCTGCTGCCGCATCGTAGTTTAAGGCGTAGCGATGCAGCATGGATGTTCCTTGCTCTCCCAACGGCAGCCACCGATTATCGTACTGCGCCGCGCCTTGTGCCATGTTGTGGGCATAACTGCTGTAAATGGCTGTCTGGGCGCCGTTGTCCGTACCCGTCGTCCGTGCTGGCATTGATGAAGCTTTCGTCGTCGCTGTCACTGCGGTCGGCACGGCAATCGACACAATTGCAACGGCCACAATGAGCGGCATCTGCGGAACAAGATTTAGTGAAGTTCATGGAAATAGTTTTGTAAAAGGCAAAGTGCGAAAATATTCCAGCACTGACCTAGGACGCCATCTACTCATCTCAAGCTAATGCATTTTTAATAATCACCAAGCGACCAACAATTGCTATCTACAATACTAAGCTTGGAACTGGTTCATTCGCGTACCTAACGCCCTTTCTCTCTACTTACCCTAAAAGTGTTGGCCATTTAGCTTGGATTGAGGCTTCAGGCTTAAGTAGTCTTCCTGGCGCTGGTCGGTAGACCTCGATAGCTGCACTGCTGCAATTGAAATGTATGCAGTTTACATTTGGCCTGCGTTTTTATACTGCAGTTTCTCAGTAGGACAACGCAAGCAACGGCCAATGTTTTCCTGTTACACAATCTGCAACCTCAGCCCCGCAATTTTTGTTTATAGAAGGCGGCCGTCGCGTCGTGCAGCCAGGCAAAGTGAGTGTCTTGCATTGGTTGACCTGCCTGCTGCTACCTATTTCTTTCTTAATATTTCTCGCTTCCTCTGGCTATAATGGCCAAATTTTAATAGCAATGCATTTGATATTGCCATTTCCAATTTCGCACCCATTTCTCTCTTTCACTGTGCATTTATGAATCAAGTTACGCGATCAATTCAACACAAAAAAACCCCCCAATAAATGCAGCGCAACTGCAAACCGAAAACAACAATCGGACTAAGCTAAACAATAAAGTTCAAAGTCATTTTCCATTTTCCATGGCAAACGAATGATACCAACAATACTGGGGAATAAGCTGCAGGCGGCACGCGCCAAGTTAATAACGAGCTGCGGAACTTCATTATAATCTTGGCATGATCACGATTCGTCCGACTGCGCGTCGTGGCCTTCATAAGCAAAACTAACTTGCACTCATTCAAAGCCGCCATCATCGTCGTCGTCGTCGTCGTCATTGTTGACGACGCGTTGTCATCATCGGCACCTCGAGTAGTATAAACGGGCCGCCAGCTGAGCTCAAAAGTTGTGGGGCAGGTTTGGTCGGGAAAGTAAACAGCGAACAGGTCCAAGTGGAGCGCAATTGATGTAGACTGACAAAAGCTGGCTGCTGGGACTTACCCGAGATTTGACGCTTTCTTGTTGCTGTGTCCGTAGGCTTAGCCAAACTTAACTGAAAACTGTTTAAATATGTTCATTTTCTTTGTTTGGCTCTCCTTCACCTGCTTTGCATGCTTTTTGCTTAAATGTCCAAAAAGGTTAATTTTAATTGTTTTACGATTTTTTCAACTTAGCCATTGTTCAGCGTATGTTAAGGCGCTGAAGCTCTCCCATGTCCGCCTGGCAGCGTGGAGAGAGAGGGGCGCGGCAAGAAAAAGTGAACGCCTTTTAAGTGCACCTGCAGACATGATGCTGCTGATTATATTTTTCTTGCCAAGCGTAACAGCTCGTTAGTATTTTCAAGTGATTTCCACTTATTTTCTTTGCTTCGTCTCGGCCTCAGCGCCACTTCAACGGCAAGGCGAAGGTAAGCAGCAGCCCAGGTTAAAGGAAAAGTACTGATTTGAAAGGAAACAAACATTTTGGTGGCTCGCTGGCTGCCGCCGCACTGCTGCTTTTTTCCACTGGCCGTCACTTTTTTTCGCTTCGAGCTGCTGCTGACTTTTATTTTATCGCAATTTACGTTTACTTCATTTCAATTACAATTACATGACTTCTTTCTATCAGTTGGTTGTGCAATTTAATGGACGTAAACGCAAAATCGCCGACATTATGCAACTAAGGTCAAGCTAAAGATCTAGTTCACAAGTTTATAAATTAGATAACATATTATAAGCTTTTGTAGAAAACCGAACCTACACCACAAACTCATACTATTCCTGAGGAGCTAGACCAGAAGATTAAAAGCAGCAGCATTAGATAATATTTTCTATGTTTTTAAAGATTCCAGACCTACATCATAATCTTACAAGCTCATTATGAAATTGCAGAGCACACAAAATTGCACTACAATCTGCATTTTTCGAAGAAGGAACTTGCAAGAAGTCTAAAAAATATATAAAACGAATTTCACAAAGATGAGGCCGATCATCGCTTTCCTTCACACAAGGTCACAGTGGAAAAAAATTTCAGCTTCCAAGCTCATAAGTCTCTTCGAGTCTGCGTGTTTCACGAATTAGTCAGTCGGCAAATATTTGTATATATTTAGGAAAAATACCTTTACAAATTGAAATGTAGAAGCGAATTGGAATGCTTAATAGCTGTTGCTTTGCCTTTGAGCCGGTTTAAAATTGTGTAGAAATGCTGTGCAATATTTGTTGTCACCCGTATTTTTGTTCGATGCTGAATATTTCAATAGATATAGAAGTATTTGAAAAAAATTCCAGCTTTTCTATAGCAGAGCTGGAATCTATGCCAGTGTGGGCGTGTGTGTTTCAAATACCCATGGGAAAGGGCATTTGCATTTGTTTTTATGCATTGAAATTTTGCTGTTGTTTATTGTAATTCTGCAATTGTAAATTTGAGCGGAATAAAGGATACAAAGACAAAGAACAGCTAGCAAACAAACAAAAAAATAATACACAAAAAGGCAGCCTACCAAGCACTGTGACTATTTCTACCATATTTTTTGCACACATATATTTTGTAACTCTTTGAAAGCGTCACACACCGCGTATACATAACATAAGTATTTAGCGCGAATTAGCACAAGCAGCTTTGGAGTCCACAAGGGGTTAGTAGGAAACGAGGACCGTTACCCGAACTAAACGTGCCACTTGCAGAACAAAATTCCCTATGCATTGTGAAGTGTCATAATAAGCACAAGTATGATTTGCGACATTACCACACTCACAAGCACACAGGCACACACACGCATATACTCTTTAAGGCATACAGTCGACAGTTTTTCAGGTTGTACACTTAGCGTGTTTTAGTGTCGCGTCCTATAGTTTTGGTTCGCCTTTTATAAGCGACTAGCTAATTAAGATAAGTGTGCCTGATTTTTATATTAATTGCACACAAACGAACCCGTTGCGCTGCTCTTATCTCAAATGCGTAGAGCAAAGCAAATCGTCAACCGTTGCCTGGTGACCGAAGTGTGAGTATGTTTGTATGTACTATATAATTCCCGAATAGAAGTAGTTGTGGTCGGGGGTGGGGGTGACTGGGGACTGGCAAACATGAGCAACGTGCGCCTTTGAAACGGACGTGGCTTACATGAGCATGTGTTTTTAAGCCTCGTTGGGTAGAAAACAATTAATTCTATGCCACGCCCACCCACACATGCGCGCTCAGCTCGAGTCAGCCTCCTGTGAAATGTGAAGCATAAAAGTACCGCAACAACCGGAAGCGGAAGCGCACAACTCTTTGCGCGAATTAATCACACAACAAGCACAGCAACAACATTGACTAACTACAAAGGCAACTACAAAGGCAACTACAACAAACGGTATAGGAAGGACACGGTCACGCATAAGCCGTTGGCCAGCGTCAGCAACGGCAGCGGCTCACATTACATTGCTCTGCTCCTAGCGCGAGGACTGGTTGAGCTCTGACCCCTCCGTTGACGGACAGAATTCCTTTATAGAGGGTCACTCTATATCCACCCCCAGACGGCAACCCCTGAGCTTATTAATATGCGTGCTTACACCCTTCCTTCGCCCCTTAACAGTGCATTCCCCGCCGGGGGTTGCGTGATGCCGTGCTTTGGGGCTAGGTCGTAATTTTGACGTCCTCCTATGAGAAAACGCGCCCATCATTTACTCGTATCCGTGGGCCTATAGTATATATATTTGGGCATATTTGTCAATCATTTTGTTTTATTGTTTTTAAAATGCGAACGAGGTCGCCGCTGGCAAGTGAATTTAACGATCCGCCTCACTTTATAATGCAAGTTAAATAAACATGATTTTATATGATTTCGGTGCGTTGTCTCTTGTCTGCATTGTCTGGCTGTCCGATCAGGCCAGCCAGACAGACTAGCCGGAGTTGCCGGTGTTGCCGGTCCTTCCTTCTTCTGCCGTGCTAGTTCGCAGTGTCAGTTTTATGGGTCTGTCAGCCATTTGCCGAATGCGACATCTGCAACGCCTTCGAGTGTAATTTAATTGAATAATTAACTTTTTTATAGCTGCTGCATGTGTGTGCGTGTGTGAATATATATAAGTATGCAAAACGTGTCATTTTAATTTACGAGCATTATGTTTGTGTAACTGCTACCAAGGCAGATAATAAACACGCGCAAAATTAAGTATACGCCTGTTGGAACTTTCTTTTACCGAGACACGCGAAAAACGTCTTGTAATACTTACAGCACATTATTTTAGCTAATTGAAATTATGTTTTAGGCGGTAACTGGTAAAATATTATTTTGGACTATTTTTTATATTTTATAGTTCCACTCCCAGTCTACAACATAGTTTCTTAAAATCTTAAAAATTTAACCGGGTAAATATTGTCTGATTTTTAAATGTTATACCTTTTTGAATTTGTACGAATCCCTACTATCAATTGGCATCCAAACAAATTAAAAATATGTTGGGTTACGAAAAGTTGTGGACCCAAAAACGATTCGTTTGTGAAGTCAACCTTTCTTGATGATTTTTTAGAATATCTCGGCCAAATAATGTCCAATTTTGAAATTGTATACCATTTTGGACTCGTAAGGATCAGTACTATCGACTGGCATCAAAAAATAGAGAATCTAAATTTTGACCCAAATCGACCAAAATGGCAAGGGGTAACATCACGTTTTTTGATAAAAATCGGGGTCAGTTCGAAAATCAAACCTTTTTGATGACTTTTTTTTAATATCTCGGGTAAATAAAGTCTGTTTTTTAAATATTATACCTTTTTGAATTTGTACGAATCCCTACTATCAATTGGCATCCAAACAAGTTAAAAATCCATGGGTTACAAAAAGTTGTGGACCCAAAAACGATTCGTTTGTAAAGTCAACCTTTCTTGATTATTTTTTGGAATATCTCGGCCAAATAATGTCCAATTTTGAAATTTTATACCATTTTGGACCCGTAAGGATCAGTACTATCGACTCGCATCAAAAAAAAAGAATCTAAATTTTGACCCAAATCAACCAAAATGGCAAGGGGTTACATCACGTTTTTTGATCAAAATCGGGGTCGGTTCGAAAATCAAACCTTTTTTGATGATTTTTTTTTAATATCTCGGGTAAATAACGTCTGTTTTTTAAATATTATACCTTTTTGAATTTGTACGAATCCCTACTATCAATTGGCATCCAAACAAATTAAAAATATGTTGGGTTACGAAAAGTTGTGGACCCAAAAACGTTTCGTTTGTAAAGTCAACCTTTCTTGATGATTTTTTGGAATATCTCGGCCATATAATGTCCAATTTTGAAATGTTATACCATTTTGGACTCGTAAGGATCAGTACTATCGACTGGCATCAAAAAATAGAGAATCTAAATTTTGACCCAAAT